CATATAACTGCACTGTTTTGTATCACATTGTCAATGATTTAAGCTGCTAGTGAATCAGGATTCTCACATTTCTATTATCTAAATGTAATCCATTGTTTTATTCACAGAATAGCGGATAGAATATGCCTTGATGACATTGAAATGTCACAGAAATCCTTTTCTTGCTGGTAGCGTTTGCTACACTCTGTGCAAACAGTAGCAACTTATTTGATGCGTTAAAAGTCAAAGGTCATAAATCATTATCAGTAAAACTGTTTATCATTTGTTTGAACTCAGTTACTCATGTGGTAATAAAGGATGACCCTTAACCATGTCATTTCCAGCCCCGCTTTAACTCAAAGTAATGTGGTTTCTGCTTTAGACGCCATGTTTGCAGTCTGGTATATTACAATCTGTATGCTGGGTGTACAGGCATCAACACTGCTCTGTTGGCAGCACAAACAAGGTTCAAAGAAAGAGTGGAAATGTGTTTTAAATAGATGTTATAAGGTTGAAGGAGAAAATGAATAGTGACGTTTTTGACGGAAATGGAAAGTTTGAAGAGAATCTGCATTTTCACATTTTCAAGGAGAACAGAGACTTGTTCATCTCTGTCTCTTTTGAACACGTGGGAGCTTTTCTCTTCAATCTCTTCTGCAGTATAACAATGAGACATCTCTCTCTTTCTCCCTTTCCTTGTCTCAACAATCTCCCTTAAGCATCCTGTGTTTCAGACCACTTCCATCTCCATCACTCTCTGTCTGTCTCTGTCTTTCTGTGCAACCCACTTAGAGACAGAGCCAGGCATCTCAGTCATCACAACACCTGTTTACACAATGCATGCTTCTTCACAACAGAGCTGTTTAGATAGATGTATGGGAGCGTGATTCTGCATCCACTCTGTTTATTGTGCGCTTTGTGCTCCTATGGGCTTCATTGTTTGCGTCTGCTGATCTCCGTGTTTGTCCAGCTCATTAGCACACACTTTTGCAGATGTTTTCCCAGATGCAAACATTATGGCACCATAAACGAGGAGCCAGCAACACACAAGTCAGTACAAATACAACACAGAGGCTACTCACCCTTCTCAAACAGCCTTTTCAGGTGTAGGATGAATGTTTGAACATGATGGGTCCCAAATAGCTCTGGTGAGGAAAAGCATTCATGAGAGCAAAAATACCGTACGCAGGAATAGTTATGAAAGAGAAAAATCAACAGCCGTAGTTTAAAATAACTTCAGAATAACCCACAGGCTTTGCTGCCAGAAATATCAGACATATTTACACCTGCTCAAGATTAGATT